CTCCAGCGCTAGAGTGAATCACATACACACAAAGTCACATAATTAGCGCTGGGTCCTCACAGCGGCGTATTCCAAAGATTCTTCTCCACATTTCCAAAGAACACAATGTTTTGCTTCTCTCTTGCGCAACATTAATCAGGGAGAAAGACTTTTACTGTTTTTCAGCACATTTTTAACCCCCCCCCCCTTACTTATTCTCCCACACTCCATTACCCCTCCCTCTCCTCTTAATCGCTCCCACTTTCAAACACCTCCCTCTGTAATTATTTCCTTCCCCTCTCGCCCCCATCTCCATCCCCCCTCTTTTTATTATTTCTGCCTCCCTCGCCATCCCTCCCCCTTTGTTACTTCTTATTTAATCTCACTTCGTTTTTACCACCTCATCACCACCACCTCGCCCCCTTCACTTTCCCTTTCTCCCTCTCCTCTGTCTGCCTCTGTTAAATGGGAGCAGTGACCCCATTACGGAGCGTTGGTGCCGCGGAGTGGTGGAGGAAGAGGAGGAGAGGGAAGGAGGAGCAGGAGGAGGAGAGGATGGGAGGATGGATTGCGTTCTGTGCGTTTGAATGAGATGATTAATGAGCGTTGCCTCCAGAGGGTGTTATCCCTGCTCCGGACCAGCAGGGACACCACTGGGTCAGCTCTGGTCACACTCTGCTCTGATACACACCGACACAGAGCACATGAAAGCCAGCACACTCCGCAAACACACACACACACACACACCCGTCACCGCTGACATTATCATTAACAATGGTGGGACAATGGGGTCGGGGGCCACAATAGCAAACACAAGCCAGAAGCTGAGAGTGTTCACAGTTCATGAGACGGGGACTCTGTGACTCACTGCTGCTCGGGTAGATTTCTCCTCAGGCTACTAACTCTCTCCTGACAGTTCACTTGAAAATGTGTGATTGATTCAGTTTGATGACTTCATTTAACCCTGAATTTGAATATTAAAAATCGTGATATCAAGCGCATGTGATGCAACCAACGATTATCGTCAGTATGGATTGAAATGGTCAATGGTCAGTATTTACATGGCGCTTTACACACCACACTTTTTTCTGTGGGGGGCCATTCTGGGCTCAGCGTCTTGCCCAAGGACACTTCGGCATGAAAATGTGGAAGACTGGGATCAAACTGCACCAGTCTGTTCATGTCTGTTCATGGTTTGGTCTCTGGATGTTAAATGTTTTCTGTCTTCTTCTTTGGAAGCTGACAAAAACATCCCACCATCCTACTTCAGTGGTTGGGAAATTGATCAATCTCCCACATCCTGTCTCATTTGATTCAAGTTAAGGTCGGCACTTTTCTGCAACAGCCATTCAGTGTGTTTACATTCAGTAATTAGCTCACTGTATAGTGGCTTTTATTGGTAGTGGTTATTCCTGCGCCGGTTTCAGATTACCAAGCACAAGGGATTCACGGAAAAACAATGTAGCATGTAATTTACAATTTGCATCTCATTGTTTACTGTTCACTTTCTTCACAGAACTGTGTTATTAACTTGCTGCTAATCTAAATCAGACATCCCACTGCTGCAGCCTCACATTGAAAACATTCAACTGGCAGAACACAGGGTGGGTTTTTATCCTTTCATATAAAGATGGACGACGCTTCTCTACTTGAATTATCCAGGTATGAAGGCAAAATATCTGAGATACTTGCAGTGCTATCTTGTGCATTTGGAGCCAAGCGTCTGCACAGCAGGGATCAGCGATGGAGCTGCGGTAGCGAGGCCCGGTCGATACAGGTGCCCGATCAATCGTGAGTCACTCTCATCTGTCAATCATGAAAGTTGTCATAGCATCAAATGACTAATTGAAACCAAACAGTGCAAAAATTAGTCGTTGAACAAACCGTCTTCTAAAATGTTTGATACGTACTAGTTTTTTAGTTTGGTCCATGTGGCATCCACTAACATGGAGGAGGTGGATTTTAGAATTTTGATTTCACTTTTGGGGTGCAGTTATGTCATCCATCTTTAGAAACAGTCAATGCTTTGTCCGTCTGTATATGAAGACTTATTGACTCGCTTTTGGAGGCAGTCTCAAGTGGCCACCCAGTGAACTGCAGTTTTTTCGGCCTCTTGAATTAGCTTCATTTATTGGCGCTGGAGATCGCTGCTTGGTTTGTAAATGAGTTTAGTTCAGTTTTGTAGCATCTAGTTAGCATGGCTAGCATCGTTGGCACAGTTAGCACAGTAAAGATGTGGTGTGTGTGTGTGTAGCCCATAGACTGCACAAACCGAGGTGTAGCCATGGGGCTTCTCGTTTAACAGCACCATGGTCAGCAGGTGGCAGCTGTTCATTGTGCTCTGAAAGACGTCACTGATCGGAGCTGGAGCCGTCTTGTTTTATACACGCTAACATGTCATAGAAAACATACGCTCTAACATGTGTGCAATGTGGGCTTGGAACAGGAACCATGAAGAGAGAGGTTCAGATCTCAGCACACAGAGAGAGAGTGACAAGTGATCAAAAGGACGACACTGTATCTCTACTGCATATATAACTTAATCTCTTCTCTTGCTGACAGTGAACCCCTGAGCAAGCTAGACTTCATCTTTGCTTGATGCGCCACCTGTTTTTCTTGTCAAAAATCTGTCCATCTTGTCATTTGCTTTTTTTCCGTATAAATGACACTTTTTACCCCCGGTGCTAATTGCTTTACGTGCACGGTGACAAGCTGTTTATTTCTCCCAGGTAAAACTGACTCATTCAACTTCAGATCCATTCTATGTGTCTAGTCCACAGTTTGAACACCACTGGTTCATAAAATGTAAAAAGCGATGTTGAAAAAAATCGAATGTTTCGTCCAAGAAATTCTCAAAAATCAATTTACAGTAAAAAATAAAACAGAAAAACAGTAAATCATCTGATCTGAGGAACTAAAACCAGCAAACGTAAATAATTGATTACAAAAAATGAAATGTATGTTTATTTAAATAAGTAATTGATTTATAGCGACTAAATGTTTCAGGACTTCAAGGTGTGATAAATTAAAAAGAGGAATCACAATGATGCTACCTTTTTTTTTTTTTTAAATCGATTTTTAGAATCTACTGTTTGCCCTCATTTTTTTTCTCCTCTCTCATTCCTTCACTCCACAGGACATTCTTCTTCTGCTTCCCCCCCGCTGTTTCTCCCTCTATAGAAACAGCTCTCGCACACTTCAGCCACATGTGGACAGTTGATGGTACAATGAATTTCACTCATTCCCACAATGATGAGGGACCATGGGAGACCAGGGCACTGCCGATGTGGACCGCAGCAATTGAAGATGCTGCAGTAGGTCATTTCAAAATATTATTAAGCCGTCCAGAGCCCGACCAAATCCTGCACCTGCCTCTATTCTACTTTTTCCAAGCTCAACAAAACTTCTCATGATGGGGAATTTGCAATTATAATTGAGATTACCCTGCGACATTGCAAGAGGGTTAGAAGGCTGCAGATACCCAATTGTTGAATCAAATAAATACGCAGCAAACTACTCGAAAACTGCACAGCTGAGCAGACTCAGCAGAGCAGAATGTGCTGCTCTGTTCAACTCATTCCAGCCTAGAAGGGCTTTTTAAATGTTGCAATGCAAATGCAGAATTAGCACGTCCACAGCTCTGCATCCAGACTGAGTCTGTGCCTTCTGTTATTCAAATAATGAGCTGGTTATAGACCAGCACACACACACACACACACACACACACACACACACACACACACACAAAATCCAGTTGTAACAGTAGAAATGTGAGAGGAAAGCAAAGTGCAGAGGCTTCTGATGCGCTGCTCCTAAGAGCTCAGATTTTTACCTGTTACCGCTGTATTTCTCTTTACTCCATTATTGCTTTATTACACATGACTGCCTCCCAGCTCTTTCCCCTTCTCTCATTTCAGACTCGCAGAAACACTGAACCATACAATCTCTCCTTCTCCCTCCCTCCATCTGCCCCACTCTATTTACCTCACTCTCTTTTAAGGTGCACATTTGAAGTCGTTCTCTTACTCTCTTTCGTCTCCAGATCAAACGGTATCAAAAAAAAAAGCCTGAAATTGACACCGAGCATGTGTTTACACTCGATCTCAAGGGTTGAGCTCAGGTCATCCTCACTGGACTGGACTGGTCATGTGATGCCTTGTCTACAATACTGAAGATATTTTTATTAATGTACATATATCCCTCCGTTTTATGAAAAGAAAATCGTCACCCAAGCCACCTTTGATTTACAAAATATCTCCATCCAGACAAACACAAAAACAACTGCAAGCGCAGAGGACCACCAAACCATCAAATACCAGAAAAGAATCATACGCTGTGAGCTTATGAAAGGACCTTGGTGTTGTTTATGGTGCATGCTCATTATGCATTCATGTGGTGTTGGGATAATCAAAAAAATATATAGCCAACAGAGAAAATTCACGCGAACACCAACTCAGGAGTTGCTGAGTTGCTCATGCTCATGTCTTATATATTTTATGCAGATAAATTATATAAATATTAAATAACCCTAATGTGTGATCATCTAAATTGTACGAATTGTCCTAGAATGGACCCTTTATATTTAAACTCTTATGTTGAAAGCGGATCCTCTTCACCATGTTTTTTACAGCAGTACAAACTGGACAAACTTAATTTCTTTTGAGTTTTTAGGAAACTGAAAGCTACACACCTTTAAAAGTACATGAACACAACGAAGTAGGAACAACGACTTCACACCTCAGGAAAGGGACCTTACACGGAAGTCACTACACAGTACAACAGTGGTCTTGCACAAAACAAACTGTGGCCTCATAATTACCCAAGTATTTCATTTCACATGTGGGCTACACACAGATACACAGAAACTAGAGTGTTTGAAAATCTACTTTTTAAAATCTAATCTTTGGAAGAAGCTCAAACACAGGAAAATAAGTTTGTTTTGCTAAATATCCGCCTTAGTGTGGACAAGGCCTCAGTCTTATGAGATCATCTTTACATTTAATAACTGCACTCTCTTCACTGTTTGTACATTTCAATGCACATAAATGATCCTTATGTCTGTTTTCAGCCCTGAATGACTGGAAGGAATAATAACAGTTCACCTCAAGTAACATTTTCATTCTGCGGTGTCCTTTGTTTTGGCGCGACCTCATAAATTGTTGACCGCTGACATTCGCTGTCGCTGGATTGTGTTTATGTCCTTGTAGGCTTTCACTGCGTCGTTCGCAGGCAGTTACCTCCTCTGAGGAATTGCATTACGTGGGAGAATGCATACAAGTTGTCCCGGCTTGGTTCAGTATGCAGAGTATGTGAGCTTCAAGTCGAGCTTTCATAATGATTCAGGCTCAACAACAACATAAGCGTTAAAAGTCCCCTGCAGGAAAATATATCATGTTAATAATTAATCAGGCTGTATACCAACCAGGATTCTTGAAATGAAACAAGAACACATTAAAAGACCTCAATATTTTAAAACACAAGTCTCCTGCACATTAACGTGTGTGTAGGTCTAAGACAGGAGAGTGAAAAATAATGAGCTGTGACTCACTCTGCTAAATGACGAACTCTCCCACTTGCAAAAGAGTTTTGTAAGTTTTTTTGTCCACTATTTAGTTCTTAGTCTGCAACAAACACCTTTATTTGAAAAAACTTCTGGTTTTTACTTTTCATTAAATCATTTTAGGACCAACACAGATGGTTTATAAGTTGTGATTAATGGCCTTAATAATGCTTTTCAAGTTACGCCAAGTTTATTTATCAAGCATATTTAAAACAACCACAGTGCTGAGCAGGCTTAAAATATGAAAATAAAAGAATATTAAAAAATCTATAAAAACTGAAAAAATATAGAACATTGAGCATCATAAATATTTTTTAAAAATGCACATTAGGGGATAAAATCAAGGTCTCAAAGCCAGTGAGAAGATTCATTCATGTTTAAGTATTCACTAGCACCGTATATATCAGTTATCGCACATTGTGAAGAACAACCATGTGTTGCTTAGTCGATTTCTATATTTTCTTGCTGTAATTCATCAGCGTTACTTGTGGAAAGCTTTAATTAATGACTCATGAAAGTTTTGAGCTGTACTATCAGTTATGGCTGCAGGGACGGAAATGTCGATCTGTTAGTCTTGTTCACCGCTTTGATCCAGACTGAGATAAATATCTCGACAGCGGGTGGATTGATTGCCATGAAATGTAACAGACATGGTTCCCTGACCATAAATCTTAATTGACTTTTGTGATCCCCTAACCTTTCCTCCAGTGCCACAGGTCCGTTGACATTTTGGGTGCAAATTGAAACATCTCAATAAATATTGGATGGTTGGTTATGAAACTGGGTACAGACATTCACGTTCCCCACAGGTGGAAGTTCCACTGTGGAACTGTGGCCATCCCTCAACTTTTTCTCAAACATCTGGTCAAAATGTCCAGTTTGTCTGCTGCTTTTGTTTTGACCAAATACCAAAAACAAAAGACTTCCCATCATAACTCTTATAGGAATTTTGCTCTTCGAACGGAGTCAACTTTTATGCCACCATTCTTTTTCAAAAGAATAGCTCATTGTTCTTTTTTTAGAAGGGGAGGTAAATATGTGGAATAATCTCGAGAGAGATTTCACAGCACTTAACGATTTAAATTGCTTTTCATTATTCACACATCGGATTCTCCAGACTTTCTGCAGGCTTTATAAGAGGGGACGAGGTGGAGAAGGTCCGCAGATAATCAGGAGTCTCTGACTTGGACATTTGTGTTCACACATGCACCTCCACCGAAGAGAGTGCAGAGAATCTCCATGGTGAGGTGCATGTGTGAAAGTAGCTTTGGTAACAAAATCTGTCAAAGTCATGAACGGCTGCCTCTACAGTGGATTTCTCCAGGACCACATTTTGCCACGATGAAACACACTCAGGAGGAAAACAATACCAGCCACAATGTCGCACCAGTACTATATGTGTGACAGAACAGAAGAACTGTAGCGGCATCAGCTCAAGGCTAGGTTGATGAATGTTGTCTTTATCCAGTAACACTTTATTTAAAGAAGGTCTTTGAAGTGTCTGAATGCAAAGGTTATAACTTAAATATGTAATGGAAGCCGTCTGTAACCGACACAGCCGGTTAGGTTTTGATTCAGTGCCAAACACTTGTGGCTGGAAAGCCTTAAATGTGATGCATTACTGGGCTTTGGAAGGTTGTAAAACATCTACCTGTCTCTGGAGGAAGCCAAACCAGTCCTTCAAATGTACTGAAATGTGTTGTTCAGTACAAACCATGTGTCAACACATTTTATATCCAGCTGATACATCCACCTTCAACAATGTGTCGATGTGAGGTTATGAACTTTCCTCATCTTAGCTTGTTATTTAATGGATCATTTTGGAACTTCCACCAGAGGTAGATACCTGGATGCTTTGTCCATTTTATCAAACAGTCTATGGTGCACATCAACAATAACAACTCAACGTACTGCAACACAAGCAAATGGAGAAAACATCTTTTGACAACGCAGCAAATAGAATATACACTGCAAACTAAACACTCACAGCACCAAAAAGAGTGATGAGCATGGCTGCAGACAGGACAGAGGAGTTTTGTGTGGCGTAAAATAATCAATAACAGGTTTACCAGCTTACGTGACAGTATAGATATAGGTTTTTATAGATATAGATCTATAGATATAAATTCTTAGCTGATACAAAGTTCAGAACACAGGCAGAATGAAAAAACTTTGGAACAGGTGCGAAGAACTGAATTGAGAGGAACCCCTCAAGGAACAGAACAGATGAACTGACAAAGATGAAGAAGGAGCACAGACTAAATACTAATGGGAGGTTTGGATAATTGGGAACAGGTGAAACACATTAGGGTGAGACAGACAATCACAGAAGAAGGGAAACCAGAAGAAGAAGGATTGTGTCTGAAATCACTCACTCAGTCAGTAACCCATACTTTACTATACGTTCTAAATGCAGGAATATTTAGTGAGCTCAGCAAAATTAAAAACGCTTTCAAACTCTCTCGGCGCCGGTCACTACGTCATTGTCGCAGGATTAAGATGCACAACAATAACAATACGGTAAATGTATTGTTTTTTTTACACTTACTATTAAGACTAAAAAGCATGAATGACCATTTATAAATGTAGAAATAAACACTACAAAATGGAAAACTCGCTATATACTGGACTATATAGTGATTTTGAGCACAGCAGAGAAGTAAACACAGGGTATTAAACCTGAGTGAAACAGAATAATCAATTTAAAATTCAAAAACAAGTCCAACAACCGTTTCAGAACACTAAAGACGACTTCATTCCAAATCCTACAGTTAAGGCTGAATGTTGTTGTTAATGTCTGTGTATGTAAAAGTGAGCTAATGGGTCGACGTTTGTTTTCCGCCATCACCAGACTGCTTTTTGAGTTTCAAGGTGATTATTTCTTGGGTCGATATTTTTGGCCAGAAGCAGCAACAGGGAGCTGAGACACGCGTCTGCACGAACTTCTGCAGCAGTGAAACCTTTGCTCAAGGCTGCAGCTAAACCCTGAAATCTTGCTGTTTCAGGTTTACTAACTCGCCGGTGATGCAGAGCAATCTGAGCATCAGTAGGTGTTGAGGTTGAGCCGTGGAAAGAGATGAGCAGCGGCACCTGAACCTCATTAACCCTCTGTGTTCAGAACAGCCTGATATGGGAAATCACTACGAGCTGTGGGAACAACACCTACTGAAAAAGCTGTCGAGTTACATTATGGCCAAAGTGTCTGTTTGTATCATATCTTACGAGTCAGTGTGGCTCCCGAGAGACAAGTGTGTCCCTCGACTGCACTCTGTATAACTGAAGAGAACAAGCAGCTACATTGTAATAACTGTAAATATTATATTATCATACCTTTCAGAATACTACGAGTTCATATTTTATTGAAGGCGTGGGTTGCTCGCAGCTTACTGTGGGCTGATCCTCATTACAGCGTGTAGCAAAAAATTCATAAATATTTGGGAGGAAACAAATGAAACTCGCACAATATAACCTTGTTTCTATTTAACTTATCTTATTATAAAAGTTTTTACAACAGTGCAGTGTGAATAATACCGCAACCCATGTAGGAGGATGCTTTTAATCCCTTAATATTCAGTTTTTCCATTTTCAAAGACGAATGATGTTTTCAGTGAACCTGGAACTCTTTGAGTTTGAGTTTGAGGCATGAGATTAATTCATTAATCATCTGTGCGTGAAAGGTTGGCCTCCGATCGCACCTCACCTCAACTCACCCGTCTCAGACACACGGCCCAGATTCATTTTTCATGCATGTAATCATGGTAATATAGGTAAACATTTATTATCAGTGCTTCCAGGTGGGGCTGCAGAGTTGGTCCCTTGTACCTTAATGATATGTCTGTGACAGAAGAATATAAACTGTGGACTGGACGAAATGACTGTTAAAAACTGCTTAGGCTTCACTTTTGTAAGCAGTCTTAACTATAGCAGGTAGCTGAGAGTGTGCTGCACTCAGGGCTGCAGTACTCGGAGCCGCAAACAAGACTGAACTAAACCAAGCAGCTGAGAAAGGTAACTAATGCAGAAGCACCAGAGACTGCAGTTCACTGACTGACCACTTGAGGCTCTGGTGGCTGGATGCAGAGCAGGTCTTAAACCCCCGCCTCCTCCATGTTAGCGGGTGGGACATGGACCAAACTAAAATGTAGGAAGGTTTCTGTCATTTCAAGTGTTCAGTTTCTAAATTTTAATTAGATATTTTATATTATAAAAACAGGGGGTGAAATGCTATTGCGATTGACAGCTGAGACTGACTCATGATTGGTTGGTGTGTATTGCGGGGGCCACACCACTGTGACTAATGAGCAGAGGGTGCAGAGGATATTTTAGCTTAATGATTGCACAAAGGGAGGAAGTGGAGACGCGTTGTCCATTTTAATGATATAAAGTATTTATAATATAAACGGTCAGGTCTGATGACCTGATCTAATCTGTCACTGTGATGAATCTGAAAGACAAATACTGTGAATTCTGTGTCCTGATAACAAAATAATTCGAAGTATTGTTTTTGTTTCTACTGTGAACCACTGTCAGATCATCGAGGATGAGCTCGTCCATAACTTCACCGCCTGACAAGAGTTCCCATCCCTGCACGACCAGCTCTGATTTAATTGCTCTAGGATCACCTTCATCCTGCTCCTTCATGAAATATTAGGTATTTTAATGATGCACGTGTACACAAACAATCCCCCCCCCCCACACACACACACAAGTGTACGTGCACTTCTAATGACAGCCGAGCACTAGCATTCCTTTTAATATTCATGACTTTTACATAACCTTTATGTAACTATGGGACATGTGTACACGATTCTACG